CCATGGCAAAATCAACAAATGGATGCCAGACAAAACAAGGGCGACTGGGCTCTGAGGCACATTGCTCATGCATGGAGGTCTTTCTGCAGCGCAAGGACCGGTGGGTCTGTCGATTGGCTAGAGGCCCATTATAAAATAAATTATATAAAATCAGATTGTACATTATACTTCGATGGTACCTCTGAGTGTCGGTAGTACCTCTGAGCTCTATCATGCCATGGATTCTGAGACTAGCTTGACCCCGTCACGCCATGAGTAATGTGTGGAATGTGGGAGGTCTTATTTGCACATACATCAATCCCACACACATCACATATATTTGGGGGGTTTTGGTGTGTCAGTGCAAGTGTTTAGAGGATGCCAGACTCAACTTGCCCGCTACGTGATGACATGACATGCTTGATGACACGCGTCCCCAAGTTGTCAGGCCCCTCTGGCACGACTAGTCTAGCCCCTCGCTTGTGTATGGACACGGAAGAGGTCAACCCGCGCACGCGTATCTTAACTGTATTCGGAAAACTAACAATAAGCTCTCAACATATTGATATATATTGTTATAGGCTAGATAGGTACATGCTATAGCGAGTGCCACACCTAGCACAAAACTATCCTGTACCACCTATTCTAGTTCAATTCGCTACCTTGAGATGGTATCACGCTAGGCTAGGTCCTCCTCGCCCACCTGCGCTTCTGCCTTAGCCCTATTCCTAGCCCTAATCTTATATCTAGTCCTAGCCCTAGCCCTAGCTGGTAGTCCCTTCGCTCGCTAGCCTGCGCTCGACTCCCAACGCTCGTAGGCCCCGCCCGTCGCCCTGCGCTTGCTGGCCCGCTCTCGTCGCCCCGCGCCCTTAGGCCCCGCTCGTCGCCCCGCGCTCGCTGGCCCGCCCTCATTGCCCCGCGCTTGCTGGCCCGCCCTTGTCGCCCCGCGCTTGCTGGCCCCCCCTCGTCGCCCCGCGCTCGCTGGCCCCTGCTTGCTGGTCCATGCTCATGGGCCCCGTGCTTGCTGGCCCACGCCCGCTGGCCCCACGCTCCCCACCCTGCGTTCGCCGGCTCCGCGCTGACCGGCCCCTCGCTCGCTGGCCCCTCGCTCGCTGGCCCCTCGCTCGATGGCTCCTCATTAGTCGGCCCCGCGCTCGCCAGCCCCTCGCGCGCCAACCCCTAGCTAGCCGGCCTCCAGCTCGCCGTGCCCCCCCCCCCCCCCCCCCCCCCACCTTTCTAGCCGGCCCCTCGCTAGCCGGCCCTCAGCTCGCCGTGCTGAGCTGTCGTGTCGCGATGCTGAGCCACTGTACCGCGGTGCGGCTGTGTCGACGTGCCGCCGTGCTGCTGTGCCGCAGTAACGCTGTGTCATCATGCTGCCATGTCGCAGTGCTGCTGTGTCGCCATGCCGCTGTCCCCCCGTATTGCCGTGCCACCGTGTCGCCATGCCGCCATGCCCCCGTGCCGCCGTGCCGTCATGTCGTCGTGCCGCAATGCCGCAGTGCCATCGTGTCGTCGTTCCGCCGTGCCGCAATGACGCCATATTGCCGTGCCGCTGTGCCACCGTCGGCCGCTGAAGTCGTGGGATGGCAGACACTGTGCTCCGCCTGGATACGGAGGGTCGGGCGATCGAGTTTGAAGCGTGACTCGTCGACCTTCGCCGCCAGCTGACACATCAGCGCCAGGACGACGACTCTCTAGCTGTTCATGTCGATGGTAAGCTCCCATGTCCCGCCGTACCTGCTGCACTCCCTGACGCCACACGTCTGCTAAGCGTAAGGCCTTTGCTGCTGCTGACCTTGGACGCGCTGTGTGGGAGTCGCGCGATGTCGCACAACTTGCCATTAGTCACACCCTTCCCCTGTCTGAGCGTCCCCGCATTACAGCAGTAGCCAATGTGAAAGAACACTTAGACGCAGTCATAGCACGCTACTCCACTCCCTCCTCTGCCTCTGCCGGCCGCCTGATCCTCTCCATGCCCTTTCCTGATCTTATTTCCTTCCCCACTGTCGCTGACCTGGTTGCTCATCTGCGCGCCCTTGAGACTAGCTACCGCACTGCTAGCACGGAGGCCCAGCTCACTGCGTTTCTGCCGCCGCTTTGCACTCTCTGTACCTCATTGCCACGCACCTCCCTGACGGCCTTGCCACTGCCCGCAACCACTTTCTTAGTCAGCACCCAGATGACCTCAACCTTACTAACTTTGTCACCGCCCAGTCCGCGAAGAGACCCTTCAGCGCACTATCGCTCAGTCTAGTGGTATTGCGACGGTCCCTATTTCCAGGGCTGTGCTCTCTGCCACGGTCGCTGAGACAGCCCCTGCTGCAGAGACTGCCGCTGCAGCCTAGTGGCGGCACGGCGGCACGTCGACACGGCCGCACCGCAGTAGTGGTAGAAGGATTCAGACTAGTCAAAAGTGACGTCACACGAGTGAAAGAAGCGGTGAGACGGCGGGTGGTAAAAGTGCCTGTCAGATGCATCAAGTGGGAAACCAAGGAAGACGCAGTGGACACTGCGGGCAGTGAGCTTGTCCGTGCCAGAGGTACGAACGTGAGCAAGGCAGCCCTAGACGTGGAACGCAGACGCGTCACCAGGGAACCCGGTCCAGAGAAGGGTCAGCGAAACCTGTAGCCGCTGGGAGTGTGGCCACAGGTTAAGGTGGTGAGCGGCGTAGCAAACAGCGAAGGGCCACAGAAACTTGGGTGCACTGGCATGGATCATTGAGGTATGAGCAACCTTCATGACCAAACCGATGCGTCGCTCAACGACCCCATTCTGCTGCGGGGAGTCCGGCACGGTGTACGACAAGGTGATGTCCTCCGTACGACAGAACCGGCCAAGCCAACCAGAGTCAAACTCGCCGCCACGATCGAAGTGAAGACGCAATACAGAGAGGCCACGGTGGACTCGCGCAGCGACAACCCACGGGATAAGAACGTCAGGCTCGTCGGCCTTCCTCTCCAGGAAAAAAACCGTAGTGTAGAGCGTGTAGTCATCAACAAGCACTAGAAAGTAGGGCTCTCGACGCTGCCCAGGGACGGGGGCTGAGCCCCACACAGGTGCAAGGTCTGGAGTGGCGCATAGATAGGGGGAAGCGAGGAGGAGTGAGGAGCATGGCATAGCCGACCTTCGACGCAAGGGATGCACGGCGGCGCAGGGGAGGGAGGGAGAGTAGGGAGCTGCGCAGGGAGACCGAAGACACTGTTGGTGCAACCCTATGGCTTGCACTCGGCTTGTCGTCCTTGTTTGTGTGTGTGCATGCATGGCATGGAATGAATTGTGAGTCTATGTCATTGCTATCTAGTCCTTGTGTGTGTGTTTGAATGGTGTGTCACTATGTGGTTTGTGTCGGTCAAGACATTAGCGAGTTTTTACAACTCGCATGTCAAGTCGTCGTTTGTGTGTCGCATGTGTTTTTTCTATTTTGTCGAGTGTGAAGTGTCCATCGCGTCGCAGGTGTGTGCAGCAAGCCCCCATCAACTCAAGAAGAATTTATCTTGCAGATCCAAGAACAAGAGCTCAAGATTTCAAGCCCAAGGGACGCGGATAAATATTAAATAGTGAAAATAGTAACGTTACTTCGTGTAGTGTTACATTTCACTTGGTATAGCCCCTTGGAGGGTTGGTTTCGAGACTCTTCATGGTTGGGGACTCTGTGGTGGTGTACCACCAACCTGGACCTCGGCTCTTGGGGTATGTAGAGGCTGGGAACCATCTCCCTCTCGAATTCTTCTTCCTAAGTTTTTTGTACTCCTAAGACTATAGTGGCTGCTGTACCTCCTGCCAGTCAAACCGCCATAGCGTCGTCAAATCTTCATGGAATTTCATGATTCAACTTGCTGCTGATAAGCGATAGCATCGCGCTCCATATCCAATTTACAGCTCACCGTTTGAGGAAGCGAACAGATCGTTATCAATATTTGAAGCCGTCTGATGGAAATCCGACTGTGCTCTCTATCTCTCATTATAGGCACATCTGAGCCTATTGGGATTATAACAAGTGGTATCAGAGCCCCTTGGAGCCTTCTCGACCATGGCTAGACCTGAGGAAGGGGGTGGCAGAGGTGCTAGAGGCAGAGAAGACGCCCAAGCACAAGGTCAACACCAAGATCCACCCGTTGCTCCGGTGCAACCTAGCCTTGGACCCTCTAGGGATGAGCCTAGAGTGTTTGGCCTTGACAAGTTCAACGGTGACAACTTTGCTGAGTGGTCCTTCAAGATGGAGAACATCTTTGATCACTATGATCTGCTGGAGGTGATGGAAGGAACGGAGAAGCGCCCCGAGAACGACCCGGAGAAGAGCCCGTGGGTGCGGAAGAGCGCACAAGGCTACCTTCTACTTGGGCAAGCGTTGGGGAGCAGCCAAATCCGTCACATCAAGCCTTTTCAGCGTGAACCAGCAAAGGGACCAAAGGCATGGGCTGCTCTCAAGGGTGTACACGCTCCTGCAACAGCGGCGGTGGCTGTGGTTTTGGAGCGGCAAATGGCGGCACTTCGAATTGACGAAGGCGAACCGGTGGAGGAAGGAGTGCAGAAATTCTTCGACTTGTTGACACGGCTCGAAGGAGCTGACCAGAACTATAGTGACCTTCAAAAGAAGACCAAGCTGCTGGCCTTACTTCCGGACTCATGGTCCTCGCTCATCATCAACTTTAATCGAGATCTGCCCCGTCTCTCACTCGAAGATGTGAAGCGGGAAATCTTACAAGAAGATTTCCGCCGTCGCGAATTGGCGGGTTCCGATGGTGCTGGAGCTGCAAGCATGGGCCGTGGGCACGGCCGTGGAAAGGGCAGAGGGCGAGGAGGAAGATTTGGCAGCAGCTACTTCAATGGAGGCCGTGGTAATGGAGGGTATGGCAGCAACAACAACAACAATGGCTACGGGCGTGGGCGCGGTCGATTTGATGGCGAATGCCACTTTTGCCACAAGACCGGCCACATGTGGAGAGATTGCTTCAGATTGCCTGATGGATGGACCCCTTCTCAAGGCCAAGAGGGCAGAGGAGCAAGGGGAGGAAGAGGCAAAGGTCGTGGAGGCCGTGGTGGTCGTGGAGGCGAAGCGGCAAGCATGAAAGGTGGAGACTACGACAAGGACTCGAGTGAAGATCGATACCCGGGCCAATTCTTCTTTGTCTCCACGCAAGCGGCAGCTGCAGCAGGAGGTGTGGAAGGCTTTGAGGAGCCAGCAACTGTGGGAAAGGTCACCCTTCACTCTCTGGACTTTTGGGTGATCGATAGCGGCGCCACCTACAGCATGACACCTCGTGCGGACTTGCTCACCGAACTCGAACCGTCGCCGGTCAAGCATGTTACATCGGCTTTGGGGCAGCGAGCAGAGGTGAAAGGCATGGGCAAGGCCATGTTCAAGGGTGCTCATGGGAAGATGGTGGGCCTCAAGAACGTGCTTTGGGTGCCCAACCTTGCAGCCAACCTGATCTCTGTTCGGCGTTTGCAAAAGGCCGGCATGGACACATCTTCCAAGGGCTCCAAAACATATACCGCGAGGCTTGGTGAGCGGAAGCTTTGGGACCTTCATGAGGACAGGGACATCTACAATGAGATGTGGCAAATCCCAGTGGTCCCCATGCCTAAGGGGAGGCAAGTGGCAGCAAGCGTCAGCACCAAGAGTGAAGCGGTTGGTGGCGGTGATCACGGAAAACAAAGTGACACCAAGAGTGACTCGAAGGAATGCAACCTTGGAGAGACCAGCAAGGCGTGTGAACCCAAGGAGAGTGGTGCAGCAGCCAAAGGTGGTGGAAATGAGGAGAAGCCTAAGATCAGCAAAGCAGCAGCGGCGAAGGAGAAAGGAGAGAGCTTGTGGGGCACGATTGCGAGTGCCGCTTTCTCCAACCCGACTTCCGCTACGGGAGAGTGTGATTGGCTGACCTTGCATCGGCGAATGGGGCATGTGGCATTGCCCATCTTGCAGCAGATAGTTAAGCAAGAGATGGTCAGTGGGATACGTGTCAAGGGGGAGCCCAATGAGGTGCTTGGCTGTCCAACATGCATGCAAGCCAAGTTCACCCGCTACCCGTTCCATAGCTCGGAGACAACGGCGAAGGCACCACTTGATGAGGTGGTGATGGATGTGGTGGGCCCCTTGAAGCTTGGAGCTGCTGGAGCTGAGTACTTCCTCACCATTATGGATGTCTACACTCGCATGACCTGGGTGTATGTGCTGCCCAAGAAGAGTGACGTAGCTGAAACGGTGAAGACCGATTGGTTGCCGATGGTGGAGCGGCAACAAGACCGACTTGTGAAGGCAATTCGCACTGACCGTGGGGGAGAGTTCCTGAGCAAGGATTTCTCAACTTGGTTGAAGAAGCAAGGCATAAGGCACTCCCTTACCATGCCCTACTCTCCTGCAATGAACGGCATCGCCGAGCGTGCGAATCGGACACTCACGGAGACGGCTCGGGGACTTCTCATTGAAGCCGGTCTACCCAATTACTTTTGGCCGGATGCGGTGCGTCATGCTTGTGTGGCCAAGAACAGAGCCTTGACTCATGTGGGAGAAGACAAATGGGTGCCCTATGTGGAGTGGATTGGAAGGAAGCCGAAGGTGGATATGCTCCGGGTGTTCGGGTGCATGTGCATGGCACTTGTGCCTAAGAAACTTCGGCACAACAAGCTTGATGCCAAGGCAACATGGGCCGTACACCTGGGCATGGCTCAAAACAGCAAGGGATGGCTTCTTTGGGACCCATTTACCAAGAAGTTCCTGGTGAGCAGAGATTGCAAGTTCATGGAGAACTTACCGTACAAGGAGTGGAAGGCGGAGAACCAAGCGAAGATTGGTGTGCGGCTTGGAGAGGTGAAGAGTACCGGCTTGGAGCATGTGGAGCTGCCCTTGGAGCTGAGTAGCAGCAGCACTATCACAAGGCAATCTCCTCAAATAAATGGGGGAGAAGAGGAGGAGGAGGTGCAGCAAGGTGATGAGCGTGCACCGTCACTTCCGCCTCGTGCTACAAGTGCTCGTGGGAACCGACCAGATTTACCGCAACGCCATGAGAGCATTCAAGTCCCTGCAGCAGAGGAGGAAGGAAGGGGGAGAAGGAGGACTCAGCCCCCTAATAGGTTGAGCTATGACCGGCTTGGAGGACCAGCCAACTCAACCTTGACCGGTTCGGCTCTCATGCTAGGCGATGATGCGGAAGATGAAAGCGAGGAGTGCGCCTTTGCCTTCTTCTCTCCGGTGGAGATGCCAGGGGAGCCTACAAATCCCAAGGAGGCTTGGGAGGGCCCCAATGGAAAGGAGTGGAAGAAGGCCTCAGATGAAGAAATGGGGAGCATCATCGAGAACGACACGTTTGACTTGGTGAACCTACCTCCGGGGCGTAAGGCGATCTCTTCCAAGTGGCTCTTCAAGCGCAAGACCGACGCCGACGGCAACATCGAGCGCTACAAGAGCAGACTTGTAGCCAAGGGGTATCAGCAGCAAGAGAAGAAGGACTACAATGAAGTGTATGCCCCTGTGGTGAAGGGTACAACCCTTCGAACCCTCTTCGCCGCGGCGGCCATCAAAGGATGGGTAGTGAAGCAAATGGATATAGTAACGGCCTTCCTCAACGGCGTTTTGGAGGAAGAAACCTACATGGAGCAGCCAGAGGGGTACAATGATGGGAGTGGCAGAGTGTGGAAGCTGATGAAAGCACTCTATGGCCTCAAGCAAGCCCCTAGGCAATGGTACATCAAGCTGCGGGAAGTCTTGGAGGCGATCGGCTTCACTCCCTCAACGGCCGATCAATCGTTGTTCATGCTTGGCAAGGGGGAGCAGAGGAGCTTCATGGTGGTTTATGTGGATGACATCCTCATATTCTCACCCTCCTCTGACCTTGTGAAGGAGGTGATGCTGAAGCTTCAAGACAAGTTCAACTGCAAGACCCTTGGTGACGTCAACTACTACCTTGGGCTTCACATTGAGCGAGATGTGAAGAAGCGGTGGATGCGAGTGCATCAAAAGAAGTACTTGGAGGCCTTGGCTGCAAACTTTGGGAAGAGTGAAGGTCATGTGGCTACTCCTCTTCCCTCAGGGTTCAAGTGTGTGAAAGGACCAGTGGAGGAAAGTGTTGGTGAAGAGGAGAGGCGCCGTTTTCACTCCTTGGTGGGCAGCCTCATGTATGCGGCCGTTCACACAAGGCCGGATGCACCCTTTGCTACCGGGCAGCTGGCTAGGGTTGTCCAATGCCCTAATGAAGAGCAGGTAGCTGCTGGAGAGAGGGTGGCCAAGTACCTTGGCCAAACAGCAACTGTTGGACTGCAATACTCCGCGGCGGCACAAAGGCGTCAAAAGGGTGCGGATGGAGTCGAACCCGGGAGGCTCTTTCTCACCGCCTTCTCTGATGCAGCTTGGGCATCAGAACCTGAGGACATGACAAGTGTGGGAGGCTTCATCTGCTGTGTTGGTGGAGGGCCAACAGCTTGGGAGAGCAAGAAGCAAGTGGACCAAGCATTGAGCTCGGTGGAGTCCGAGTACATGGCACTCTTCCGTGCCATAAGGGAGGTTGTGTGGCAGCGGTGTTTGCTAGCTGAATTGGGGGAGGAGCAGCAAGGACCTACCCCACTCTACTGGGATAGCCAAGGTGCTATTGCATTGGCTAAGAACCCGGTTCTTCATGACCTTACCAAGCACATGAAGGTGAAGTGGCATTGGGTGAGGAGCATGGTAACCGCGGGTGAAGTGGAGTTGCACTACGTGAAGACGACGGCGCAGCCAGCTGATATGATGACCAAGAGGCTGGTTGAGCAGCAGCATTGGAAGTGTTGCAAGCTTGCTGGGATGGCTCTGAACTAAGGGGAGCAGATTCTAAGGCCAACAATCCGAGGGGGAGTTTGTTGGTGCAACCCTATGGCTTGCACTCGGCTTGTCGTCCTTGTTTGTGTGTGTGCATGCATGGCATGGAATGAATTGTGAGTCTATTTCATTGCTATCTAGTCCTTGTGTGTGTGTTTGAATGGTGTGTCACTATGTGGTTTGTGTCGGTCAAGACATTAGCGAGTTTTTACAACTCGCATGTCAAGCCGTCGTTTGTGTGTCGCATGCGTTTTTTCTATTTTGTCGAGTGTGAAGTGTCCATCATGTCGCAGGTGTGTGCAGCAAGCCCCCATCAACTCAAGAAGAATTTATTTTGCAGATCTAAGAACAAGAACTCAAGATTTCAAGCCCAAGGGACGCGGATAAATATTAAATAGTGAAAATAGTAACGTTACTTCGTGTAGTGTTACATTTCACTTGGTATAGCCCCTTGGAGGGTTGGTTTCGAGACTCTTCATGGTTGGGGACTCTGTGGTGGTGTACCACCAACCTGGACCTCGGCTCTTGGGGTATGTAGAGGCTGGGAACCATCTCCCTCTCGAATTCTTCTTCCTAAGTTTTTTGTACTCCTAAGACTATAGTGGCTGCTGTACCTCCTGCCAGTCAAACCGACATAGCGTCGTCAAATCTTCATGGAATTTCATGATTCAACTTGCTGCTGATAGGCGACAGAATCGCGCTCCATATCCAATTTACAGCTCACCGTTTGAGGAAGCGAACAGATCGTTATCAATATTTGAAGCCGTCTGACGGAAATCCGACTGTGCTCTCTATCTCTCATTATAGGCACATCTGAGCCTATTGGAATTATAACAGACACGACCGTGGTGGGACATGCGATGCAGACGTGGGAGTGCGAGGTGACCTAGGCGGTGGTGCCACAGAAGTGATAGGTGAGTGAGCGACCGACACGAGCAAGCCGCAGTGACCAGGGTCGACGCAGGCACATGGGGGGACGCCCTCACCCTGGGGGACGCAATGTCAAGCGTGAACAGGCCAGACACAGGGTCCCGAGGGAACATGGTCAGAGGGGCATTAGTGGCGGCCTCAATACAGACGCCGTACTTCTCGTGTCCGGGGGACATAGTGGTGACGCCGAGATTCTGAAGACAGCTGACACCATCTAGGTTCCGGGAGTACGAGAGGATGTGCAGGCCTATAAGAGAACCCGAGGAGACCACAGGACCGAGAAGTGTGGTGGAGCAACGGGCAACTACTGGACCTGAGGAGGGGTCAGCAAGTGCGACAGCGGTAGGGGTGGCAAGCTGCATGAGCGCAGTGTGGTCACGGAAGAAGCAGGCACACGCTCCAGAGTCGAGCGTGAAGGAGAGCAAAGCTGTAGCCTCAGCCGGACGAGGGACTAGCGTGGAGCCTAGGCTAAACAAGGCAAAGGGTCCTACGCCTGACGCAGCACAGGAAACTAGACTACACACAGGGGACACACCTATACTATGCAACACCAGGTAATAGGATCCAGTCACACTAGATTCATCACCATACATAACATATATAGCAGACCTAATCTGATCCATGTCCATCTCAAAGACAGGCACACGACGACACACCAGGCTGTACCAGTCGAGGGGGTCCACCGTGGGGCCGAAGTGGAGACGGAAGAGGTCGTTGAGATGGTGGTAGCAGCGCACGGCAGTGTGACCGGATGGGGTGCAGACGGTGCCGCGGCAGGGGCTGGACTAAAGCTGGTACTGGCACGTGACCACACTGGAGCCGCCACCCGACACCGAACTGCATGGCCCTCTACCACGACCACCACCACAAGTGCTGCCAGGGCACCATGGCAGGGGGGGTTCCCCACGGCCGCTGCTGAGGCAGCTGCTGAGGCTGCCGCTGAGGTGGTTGCTGCTGCTGCTGCTCCGGGGCATCTGCCCTAGTCCCCTCATCTCCACTACCGTCCCTGGCACTACCGCCTTCCCTCCGCCACGCCCCCCCCTTGGGACGGCGACCTCTACCCCCACGCCCCGCCCCTGTTCCTTGTCCCCACTCCCCCGGTAGCTCCTGATCCTCTGCCTCCACATCCTTCCCAGTTTGGTGTGTCTCACGTCACTCCCCTACCGTCGGTTGTCCCAGTCGAGGAGTCGGCTGACTCCAGTGGCCTTGCGGCACCGTTCTCGCCACATCTCTTCACCTCCATGTCTACTCTTCCGCCGTCGCAGCAGCCGCTGACGTCGCCGCCGCAGCAGCAGCCGCAGTCGTCGCCGCCGCAGGGGTCCGCGAACTCTGGGGGCGCGGGCGTTGAGGAGGGTGGTAGTTCTGGGGCTCCTTTCGTGGCCGGTCCCGGTGGTCCTAGGGGCACCACCAGTGCTAAACAGGTTTCTCGTTTTGGGGGTGCTGGTTTTGGGGTGCTAGTCCTGGGGTTCCTGTCCTGGCTCGTTCCGACGGTCCTGGAGGTGGCACTGGTGTTGGAGAGGGTTCCTCCTCTGGGGTTGTTTGTGCGGAGTGTCCCAGAGGTAGCTGTTATAATCATAATAGGCTCAGATGTGCCTAAAATGAGAGAAATTGTGCACTGTCAGAATTCCGTCAGACAGCTTCAAATATTGATGCCGATCTGATGTGTACCTTAAACAGTGATCAGTAAATTGGATCTAAAGCGCGTGGCTGTCGCCTATCAGCAGCAAGTTGAATCATAAAATTCCATAAAGATTTGACGACGCTATGGCGGTTTTACTGGCAGGGGGTACAGTAGCCACTATAGTCTTAGGAGTACAAACTTAGCAAGAAGAGTTCGAGGTAGGGATGGTTCCCAGCCTCTACATACCCCAAGAGCCGAGGTCCAAGGTTGTGGTACACCACCACAGACTCCCCAACCATGAGGAGACTCGAAACAAATCCAACAAGGGGCTACACCAA